CCCACCGCTTCCCCACTGAACCGGCCGAAGCACCTCCCCACCACCTCCCCACCGAGCCGGCCGAAGCACCTCCCCACCGAGCCTACCGAAGCACCTTTCCACCGAGCCAGCTGAAGAACCTCCCCACCACTTCCCCACCGAGCCGGCCAAAGCACCTCCCCACCACCTCCCCACCGAGCCGGCTGAAGCACCTTCCCACCACCTCCCCAGCGAGCCGGCCGAAGCACCTCCCCACCACCTCCCCACACAGCCGACCGAAGCACCTCCCCACCACCTCTCCACCGACCCAACCGAAGCTCCTCCCCACCACCTCCCCACAGAGCCTACTGAAGCACCTCCCCAGCACCTCCCCACCCAGCCGGCAGACGCACCTCCCCACCACCTCCCCACCGAGCCCGCCGAAGCACCTCACCACAGAGCCTATTGAAGGACCTCCCAACCACCTCCCCACCGACCTGGCCGAAGAAGTTTCCCACGACCTCCCAACCGAGCCTACCGAAGCACCTCCCCAACCACCTACGCGCCGAGTCTACTGAAACACCTCCCCACCACCTCCCCACCGACCCGGCCGAAGCACCTCCCCACAACCTCCCCACCGACCCGGCCAAAGCACCTCCCCACCACCTCTCCACCGACCCGGCCGAAGCACGCCACCGAGCCTACCAAAGCACCTCCCCACCACCTCCCCACCGAGCCTACGGAAGCACCTCCCAACCACCAGCCCACTGAGGCAGCCGAAGCACCTCGCCACCAGCCTACCGAAGCACCTCCCCAACACGTCCCCACCGAGCCAGCTGAAGAACCTCCCCACCACTTCCCCACCGAGCTTGCCGAACCACCTCCCCACCACCTCCCCACCGAGCCGGCCGAAGCACCTCCCCAACACCTCCCAACCGAGCCGGCCGAAGCACCTCTCCACCAAGCCGACCGAAGCACCTCTCCACCACCTGCCCACCGAGCCAATCGAAGCACCTCCCCACTGAGCCGGCCGAAGCACTTCCCCACCGAGCCAGCCAAGGCACCTCCCCACTGAGCGTACCGAAGCACCTTTCCACCGAGCCTACCAAGGCATGTCCCCACCACCTCCCCACTGAGGTGGCCGAAGCACCTCCCCACCACCTCCCCACCGAGCCGGCTGAAGCACTCCCTCACCTAGCCTACCGAAGCACCTCCCCACCACCTCCCTACCGAGCCGTCCGAGCCACCTCCCCACCACCTCCCCAC